TTAAACAACATAAAGAAATTGTTAAAATCTGAAAAACAACTAAAAAGTCATAAATGTAAGACAAAATTGATAAAAACTCATAACTGCAATGGTAAATTTGAACAGCACAGAAGCTGCTTAGAGATAATAGAGGAACTGAGTACCATACGTAACATGTTTGAAAATATATATTATACTCCTGTACTCTACAGAAAATTCAACAGAGAAGAATGTATATTCTGAATCATGCTTGTGACATTTAAAAATACTTATAAAATTAACTTATTCTCAGTCACTAAGAGTCATAAACATTGAAAAGATATTATTTCCTTACTAGGCAATGAAACAACTATTGGGAAAACTAAATGAGGGCAAATGGAATTGAAGACCCCATGGTGTATAGTAGTGGTGGCCAGAGTAGTTTCTTGTGCCCCTGTTAATGTCAGCCCAGATGTGGAAAGGTCAATGAGGCACATTTTTGAACAGAGAATTCCTTTCTAAGATCTGCGTTTTTGGCCTCTAACCAGTCACAATTATCTCTACCTAGCTTCAGGGCCTGTTGGCTTTTGAGGTGGATCAGAGGTCTCCCTGTTTTTTATCTGAGGTTGTGATTACTGTCCAAGCTAAGGTTTGTCTTTGCACTATTGGTAGATGGGAATTGCACTTGGTCTTTTGTCCTCTGCTGGATGTAGGCCAGGGGCCATGGGTTCAGGTGAACTACTGGACTTAGTGTTGACAGTCATGGTCTGATTGCTTCCTCTTCTCTCCAGGCATTGTCCTCATCCAGGATCATGTCGCTTGAATAGTCCTCACTTCTGCTACCCTATTCCAAGGGGAAGCAAAATGCAAAAATGGCTTAGGGTTGCTGAATGATGTCACCCTTGTGTGGGCGGGGAGGATTCTGCATGGTCCTTCTTGCCTATTTTGTGGGAGAGGCCCCATGAGGCTGTGGTGGGGTGTCATTGGTCCTGTATAGGTTAGTGTAGTCATATTCTTACTTGTATTGGGATTTAAAGCTTTTACAGGATCTCACAGAAAACAATTGTCCACTCAGACTTCTATATCCTGGAGAACTTTAAAATGTTTAAAATTTGATAGAGAAACACTTTGCATGACAAATCCTTAAAAAACTATTCATGACTTCTAAGCCAACACAGCTAAGATACTTAAGGGCATCCTATAGAGAGACATGGAGAAGAGCAACACCAAAGAGCCCAAAGAAAACTACATATCTAATTGGGAGATAGTTAAATGACAAAGAAGGAAAAGGAAGAAGAGGATAAGGAGGAGGAGGAGGAGAAGGAGGAGAGGGTGAAGGAAAAGGAGAAGGAGGAGAATGAAGAAGAAATATCAGTGCTGGAAAACTCTTGATATGACAGGACCAAGTTAATATATAGCAATACTAACTCCCAGTGTTAGTTTTCTTAACTCCTAGTCAAAAGATAGACTGGCAGATTGGATCAAAAAACAAAAATCAATCACATTTTGCCAGAAGAGTTACACCTCATACCCAGAGAAGTTGAAAACTGAAAAAAAAAAATTGAAAACAATTCTCATTGCAACTGGAGCCCAAAAACAATAGGAATAGCTATCCTATTTTCAGACAAAGCCAATTTCAAATCAAACTTAACAGAAGAGAAAAAGAAGGTCATCGCATAATAGAAAAGATTCTACAGAAAGAGCTAACAGTTGAAAATACATTTGAACAAGTTACAGTGCACCACATTTCATTAAAAACAAAAACAAACAAATGAAGAAACTTCTCAGCCTTTGATTAAGATGAAGTGAAGAAAATCTACTAGACATAAGATGACAGTTAAATATCAGTGCCATCATACTGAAGTATGTCCATTTCCCACTCTCACAAGTAGACAGACCAAGCATACTGAAAATCAACAGAGAAATATCAGATAACCACAACACTGAACAAAAGGACTTAACAGATATCTGTAAAGTGTCTCATTCCACACCAACAGAATAAAAACTTTTCTCAGTATCACATGAAACTTTTTCCAAAATAGATAATATCTTAGGTAGTAAAACATGTTAAATGAATACAATAATATTGAAATAATCCCCTACATGCTATCAGGTCACAACATGATGAAATTAGAAATCAATAGCAAATGAAATGAAACTCAAAAACACAGCAACAATAAGTAATCAGAGAAGAAATCAATACAGAAAACAGAGTTTCTAAAATCAAATGATAACAGAAGCACAACATACCAAAGCACATGGGACACAATGAAAGCAATTCTAAGAGGGAACTTTAGAGCAGCGAACTCTTATTAAAATAATAGAGACATTCCAAATAAATAATTAAATTCTGCATCTGAAGGCCCTACAAAACATGAATATCCAAATCATGTGAGAAGGAACTGTGAGAAGGAAGAAATTACAGAGTTCAGACCAGAAATTAATGAATTTGGGACTAAAATAACCATACAAAATAGTCAAAGACATTACAGGATAGTGACACATTCATGCTCATGTTTATAGTAGAACAACTTCAATATCTAAAGTTGGGTATCAGCTTATATGCCCCTTCACAGATGAAATACAAAGAAAGTGTGGTGTATACATAGAGTGATGTACTCTGAAACTATCAATAAAAATAAACTTGAGCCAGTTGTAGAAAAATGGACACATCTTGAGACCATACTGTTAAGTGAAATAACCAAAAAGATTAAATGTCATGTGGTTTTTCTCATAAGAAACCCAAAATATAAATAATTTACAGAGAAAATAAGAGATGAAAAGAAACAAGGATTCAACTTTATGTAGGCAGGAAGAGGATATGGAATGAGGGAATATTTAAGGAGAAAGAGGGGAAGGAGAGGAAATCATGATTAGTATGTGATATCTATAAGTACTAATTCCCAAAAATAATTGTAGTTACTATGTATTGCAGTCTATATCAATACAAAGAAAGTGTTCAACATCACACCTCACTGGGGACTTGCCACCTACAATGATAAAAGGATTCCATTGTGTACCTGTACAATAGCTGGCATCAAAATATTGGAAAAGACATATTTCAAAGGGATTATTAGTTATTGCTGTTGGAAATGCTGAATGACAACATGTTGAAATAAATTTTTAAGTTTCTTACAATATCATAATACTTTTACTATGTTATTCAGGAATTGTTCTCCTTGGGATTTGTCTGAATGAACTGAACACTATGTCCATACAAAAACCTACACATGGATATTCATAGAAGCTTTGTTTATCTTTTTTGAATTTAGAAGCAGACAGTAAACCCTTTAATAGGATACTGTACGCAGAATCTGAGATACATCTTTACAATGCAATGTTATTTTTTGGTAAATTTAAATGAGATGGTAAAGCAGGTAAAAATATGGAGGAATCTTTTCATACTACTAAGTAAAAGAATCCAATTGGAAAAGGCTATGTGCTGCATAATTCCAACTACAGTGTATCTACCACTGTGGTGTCAACAAAATCATCATTTACTTCCGTGAGCTTCGAGAGAAGACAGGGATGAATAAACAGAGCAAAAAGTTTTTTAGGGCAGTGAAAGTGTCTTGTTTGATATTGCAATACTGCATAAATATCCTTATGCATAGGCAGAATCCATTGATTGTACAGCACAAAGAATGAACACTATATAATCTATGAACTTTAAATAGTGATATGGCAACATTGTTTCGACTGAGTCTAAGGGTTGACAAATGTGAGGGCTGTGAAATATGGGAGAAGTCAAATGTGGATATCAACAGAGTACACATTGAAATTGCATAGCTTTCATTTAGTTTTGTTGTGAAAATATATACAGATTAAGATTAAGAAACTTTAATCCATAACTCCAGCCAAGCTGAGATTTGCATTATTCTCTGACTCTAAGGTTTAACATAGAATACTTAAACTAGGTGAACATTCTGTGCAATAGGAAATGAGAAATCACTAAAAGGCAAATTAGGAAACTAGTATATGGAACAGGACCTTGTACTGTGCATCAGTGGCACTTTATTTTACCAAGTCAACAATTTCTCAACCTTTAAAAGCAAAACAAAGTTTAGATGGGTTGATCTTGGCGATACCTTCTATCTTCGTGCATGATTCTTTCATTCCATTAAAGGACGGATCTAGGTCAAAGCCTCAGCTTGGTAAAATGGGACAAGAATAAACATCTTTTATGGGATAAAGAGGGTGCTCTTGAGATAGCACCTCAACTTATTTCATCCAAATAAATTGTTATGATTCTTTTAGTGTTGCAAGTCCTCTGAGTCAATGACTTTGTCCTTGCTCATTTTTCACTGGATAAAGTACTTGCGTCACTCAGAGTCTAATGGTTACAAAACCAAACTTTACTGACCTTTATTTTAATCAATTGGTTCTATAATTATTAACAAAATAAATATATATTTTAAAAGTCATTGATTAGATTGAATCTCAAAATATGAAAGCATAGTACATAATAAGGAACTCTTGGTGATCCCAGAAATAATTGCTTTTTAATCTTCTCTTTTTTATTTTTGGTATAATATATTAATTGGCCTCTGTGTGGTATTTCCATACATGCATTGAATAAAATCACCTCTTGTTGGCTAGCCTAAACCACTTTTCCCAACTTATATTAATTACTACTTCACATTCAGGTTGAGTTGCTGTTTCACTTATGAAGGATCACAAAGTGTTTATTTTCTGTGTCTGATTTATTTCACTTAAACTTCTGTCCTCTGGTTTCATCTGTTTTGTTAAGAATGATAGTATTTAATTCTGCACTAGACTGGAATAGTATTCCACTTTTTATATATCTCACATTTTCTTTGTCCACTCACCTGATGACAGGTTTTTAGGAAAATTCCATATCTTAGCAATGGGTACAGTGCCACAACAAATGTTCTCATACAATAAGCACATCATCATGGCATGTTGATTTCATAGTTTTATATAGACTTAGAAGTAAGATTAGTGAACCATTTAGTTATATAAATATATTTTTTGCTTTATGAGGAATTTTTATACTGTTATCTATAATGGCTATACTAATTTACATTCTTGTCAGCAGTGTAGAAGGTGTGGACATTGTGCTTGGAGGGAATGGTGCAAGACACAGAGTATGTGGGTATCAATACCAGTTTTCTCAAATACTGTGTATCCTTGGTCAGGAGAGTGAATCTACAGGTACAGTTTCCTTGCTTTATTATAGAAATAATTTTGTTTTAGTCAAAATGATATTATTAGCGTGAATTTTCCATATTTTGTTTCCCTATAAACATGGCTAGTAAAATTTATGTAACATTGTCTTCATGAGACAACTTTTCCTACAAAAATATATTGGAAATAACTTTTTGCTAGTTAAGTTAGAAGAAAATTGGGGTTATCTTAATATACTTTTGTTAAGCATTGGTGATATAGTAACATATATCATTCTATTGGTAATTAAATCCTCATGAATATCTGCTCTCATTCGTGGAACATACTGTTTGTCTTGTGCTTAGGCATAATTATTCTCCTTGTTCCCATCCTTTACTGCATTCATAGCTCTAGTTGTATTTGCACTTTTTCTTATATCCTATTCATCATTTCATTTTTTATGCCCCTGACAGATAAAATTCAACATAATCAGTTTTTCTAGAGGTGACTGAAACACAGGGGAAAATATAATTGATTGAGTCCTCTACGGTTACTTCTCTGAAACTTGGTCTTACATTTCTGCTGATCAAGTTTCAACTCGGCAGTGACAGAGAAAATGGAACCCTATCTGAGTTCCTCTCTTGAATATTTATTGTTGTGTTTTCTTTGGAATCAAGTTAGGAGTTTGTATTTAATGGACAAACTGTTGCCTTGCAAGAAAAATAGTGTCTTGTCCATTCAGAGTATCTAATATTTGAAGGTTTTTTTTTTTTTTGATGTGCCAGAATTGCTCAGGAAGGTGTGGAGAGTCACACTGAGCATCTGAAGATGTCACTCAAATACAAGTTCTTTCATGTATGAGTTGTATGATGCTGACAGGTCTCCTATGTTCCCAGTCTCCTGTACTGTATACAAAATTTTAGAAAATAAATTTCTTAGTTCTACTGTTTAGTATTTAATTTAAAGTACATGCAACTTTATTTAACTAAAAACAATATAGATTTTTTTCATTGAAGATGTATGAGACATGTTGAATATTTTGTGTTTCAGGACAGATAGTGTTAATGGAGGATATTGCACAGTTGAAAGGTATCCATTGCCAACATTGAAGTGTCCTAGTGTCTGATACATCAATATAAGGTTTTCAAAATGCAGATGATAGAGTGTCCCAAACACTTATTCCTCAAATAAAATCTCAATTGGTCGTTGTTCTTTTTTTATTATTATTATTTTTTAAAAAGGAAAAAACAAAAACTAAGAAGTAAACAAATAAAACAACAGCAACAAAACAGCAGAAGCAAAATGACAACATCAACAGAATACAACATTGATACAGGATTTCAAACCAAGACATTAGGAATTTAACAATGATAGTATACTGCATATTCTTATCTTCAAAATAGTTGTTCAGGTTACTAAATACAGGCATGCAAAATTGAACAAATGATATAATTTCCCATTGAGCAGTTTCTTTCTCTTTTACTAAATCTGTTGTAACTTTTCGATCTTATTTATTCTTTCAGTTTCTTACTCCGGGAGATAATACAGTGTTTACACATACAAGTTTGATTTATTTCACTTATGAGTATGGTTCCTAGTTGCATCTGTTTACCTATAAAAGTATCATATTTATCATTCCTTATGGCTAATATCCCACTACATAAAAATACCACATGTTTTTATCCATTCCTCAGTTGATGGGCATTTGGGTCTTTCTCCAAATCTGGCTATTACAAATTTTGCAGCTACAAACATGGGTGCACACACATCACTCTGCTATGATGTTCTCAGTTCTTCTGGGAAATACACAGAAGGAGAATAGCTGGGTCAAATGGAACCTCTAATCCTAGTTTTCTGAGAAATCTCTACACTGATTTCCACAGTGGTTGCAGTAGTGTACACTCTCACCAACAATGGAGAAGGGTTACTTTTTCCCCACAGCCCAGCCAACATTTGTTATTGATTGATTTCTTGATGATAGCCATTCTATCTGGAGTGAGATATCTCAATGTTGTTTCAATTTGCATTCTTGAATACCAATTGGTCATTATTCTAAGAATACAGAATTTTTGAATGATTTTCTTGCATCATCAAAACATGACCAAACCATATCAGCACATTGGAAACATCTGAATGTTTTCATATCATCAAATTATTGTCATCAACATGTAAGCAATCTCCTGGAAGGGAAACAGAAAACATAAAAAGGGTAAAGAATGTTTTTATTGAATGTCTATCATTGAGACAAACTCTATTTAGAGAAGAGATTAAAGTACATCTAGGGCTGGGGGTACAGCACAGTGACACAGAGCTTTCTAGGAAAGTGCAATGTCCTAAGTTCAATTCCTGGTTTGAAAAAAATTTAAACAGCTGTTTAAATTAAACCCGGGCTGTTTTGTGACTTATGTGTCAAAAGAATACATAACAAATGAAGTGTGAACATTACAAAAACATTGCATTGCAAGCTCACTGCTGTCTCAGTAAGAAGAGGAGGCACAATGGATGCAGTTGTGATCCTGGTTCTCTGTCTCTCCTACCTGTTTTTCATTTCACTCTGGAGACAGAGTTCTGGGAGAAAGAAGCTTCCTCCTGGCCCCACTCCTCTTCCAATTATTGGAAATGTCTTGCAGGTAGATTTTAAGAACATCAGCAAATCTTTAACCAATGTAAGTATGCTTTATTTTCTTCCAGCTGCTTACAGAGAAAGTAAATGGATATGATTTTAAAGGAAAATATTTCTAAAGGCACAATATTATAATAAATGACAGTTAAAAAAAACACTCCTTGTAAACTTTCATGTGTTTGTTACCTTCTTCAATTTGTCATTGTCAGATGAAATAACATGAAGTGATAGATTATGTAGAGAAATAGTCATATCCTTATAGGGTAGAATCAAAATTACGCATTGGCAAAAGTTGTATTTCATTTCTTGTTTGTGTTTATAAATATTTGTTATTATTTTTTGGCTTAACACTAACAGAAAGGGATGTGTTTGTGATTAGAGGTTTTATTTTTTGAGTCATGTACAATAGTAGCTCTGTTTCATTCAAAATTTCCATAAAACTTGAAGTTTTATGTAGATTTTGTATCTTCTATATTTTAGCTGTGGAACACTGGAAAGTAATTTGAAATTTTCTAAGCTGTTTTTTGTCCTTTAAAACAAGTCAAATAAAACTACTTGAAAGTGTTGATGTGAGAATTAAATGTGACCAACTAAAGAGGTCATTATATAGCACGTAACAGATTGTACATAATTTGAAACTATGATAATCAGCATCTTATTCATATATGAAATTCTGAAACTTGAATAAAATATGGCAATAATATCACTCAGAATCAGGCACTGTATATAGAGAAAATAGAGATAGATATTTTTAACTGTGCATTTCATTTCCATTTGCCAGTTGTCAAAAGTCTATGGCCCTGTGTTCACCCTGTATTTGGGAGGGAAGCCCACTGTGGTGCTGCATGGATATGAAGCTGTGAAGGAAGCCCTGGTTGATCTCGGGGAGGAATTTTCTGGAAGGGGTAATTTACCAATTTTTGAGAAAGTGGGAGAAACTCTTGGTAAGTGTGCATGTGTTTGTATTGCATAGTAGTCATGGAACACGACAGACTGAAACAGACACTGGCAGGGCTCCTTGGTAAGAGCTTAGCCATTTTGTAGCTGCTACACCTCAGTTCTGTTTTCCTGGGATATTTTTCCTTTTCTTCTCCCCATCATTTAGGAATCATTTTTAGTAATGGAAAGTTATGGAAAGAGACCCGGCGCTTCTCTCTCATGACCCTGAGAAATTTTGGGTTGGGGAAGAGGAGCATCGAAGACCGTGTTCAGGAGGAAGCCCACTGCCTTGTGGAGGAACTGAGAAAAACCAATGGTGAGTGCCTCTTCTTGTCACTGAATTTGAAATACTTTTCTCTAAGGAGGAAATTACAGTCATAAGAGAGATCCCATTCTTTGTCCTGGCCCTCAGTCCTTATGTTGAGGAGGGATGATTTGAAGCAGAGAGCCAGTATTTGTTTGGTCATCTTTTCCCAGTGTACAAGCTTGATTGTGCCTTAATGAATATGCGTAATATCTTTTAATGTTATTTTGCTCCACAATCTGTTTAGTTTGTTTTCAGCTCAGAAATCATGACTACAATAATACCTTGATGCACAATAACTTCTATTTATGAACAACTTGGTTCCTAAAAAGAAATCTTTGACAAAATTTTGCTTTTGTTCATAAAGTCTGCAACAGATGAAGAATATGACCATAGTTCTTATTTTTAGTTTCTTACACTAGGATGACAATACATTGTTTATACATGAGTCTGACTCATTCATTTATGAACATATTCTCTCTCTTTCTCTTTCTCTCTCTCACTCTCTCTGTCTCTATCTCTCTCTTTCTCTCTCTCATACTGGAGATCACACTCATGACCTTGAGCATGACATGCAGGTGCTTGTACTACTGCACTAAATCCCTGGCCCTGAGTATATTCTCAAGTTGGAAACATTTACCTCTAAATGTCTCAAGTTTATCCTTCTTTATAACTGAGTAGTACTTCTTTGTATAAAAATATCACATCTCTTTTATCCATTCCTCAGGTGATGGGCATTTGGATTGTTTCCAAGATCTAGCTATTACAAATTGTGTTACTATAAACATGAGTGCATATATACTGCTGTGGTATGTTGTTTTTAATTCTTCTGGGAAGATACCTCCAATCCTAATTTTTCAAGCTTTATCTCTTTCTAATATACCCTTAAGAGCATTTTGCACAGCTGGTTTGGTAGTCATGAATTTCTTCAATTATTCTTTCACATGCAAGCGTCTTATTTTTCCAATGATTTTTTTTTTACCTTTTTCATTTTTATTGGTACCAGGGACCGAACGCACGACTTCCTGCTTGCAAGGCAGGTGCTTATGCTGCTGAGCTAAATTCCCAGCCCTTTCCAATGATTTTGAATGATATTTTAGCAAGGTATGTCAATCTGGCTTGGAGTTTTTTTTCCTTAAAGACTTGAAATATTTTACTGCAAGGATGCCTTTACTTGGTTTGTGTTGAGAAATCTTCTGTCATTCTGGTGCATTTCTCTTTACAGGTGATTGATTTCTTTTTTCTGAACACTTTTAGTAATGTCTACTTATGCTGAATTCCTGGAATCTTCATTATTTTTTAAAGAGAATAAAACATAACAAAAAGAACAAAGCAAATCAGATCAGATCAGAACAGAACTATATAAACAGCACAAGAGTTCAAAACAAGACAACAGGAAATCAATAGTGGCTATATAATGTCTCTTGATTTCTTTTAAATAGTTGTCCATACCTTCACACACAATAAATTTGAACAAAACAAAATAGTATAAAACCATTCAAAGCAAAAGGATGAAAGCATTATGACCTTTCTTTCTTTATTTTAAAGAGATTAAGACAAAAGAGGACATAACAAAACAGATCAGATCAGAATAATGAAAATAACACAGCATTTTACCACAAGACAACTCATAATTAACAGTAACTACCACAATGTCTCTTTTTTTGAAATAATTGAGCATAGCTTCATATACAATAGTGTCAAACATAACAAAACAGTATAAAATCATTCAATAGAGTGAAAGCATTACAGGGCTTGCAGAACCAAATAGCCAAGAACGAACAATGGCTATTATATTACCTCACTTCCCATAGAAAATTTGTTTATACTATGACACATAATAATATCCAATAAGATATAACAAGATAGAACCAAAGAAAAGAGAAAAACGAAAGCTTAGTAGGACTTCAGTGTAAGATGATACTAAATCATCACTGGCTATTCTAATGTCTTCTTTTCTTTAAATTAGCTGTTTATACTATCACAGATAATAAAATCAAAGAAACTAGGATAAAATCATTCCACCTAATGAATGCAGACATTGTAAGGCTTCAGAGCAATGTAATGGGGAATCATGATTACTATAAACTCTTGTGTACTATTACCATTTCTTACACTAGGGAGACTATACAGTATTTACACATATGAGTTTGATTTATTTTACTTATGAGTAAGGTCTAAAGTTGTGTCCATTTATTTATAAATATCTCAATGTGATCATGCTTTATAGCTGAGTAGTATTCCATTGTATAAAAATACCTCAGCTTTTTAAACCATTCCTCAGTTGATGGACACTTAGGTTGTTTCCAAGATCTGGCTATTACAAATTGTGCTGCTATAAACATGGATGCACATATATTACTGTGGTATGATGTTTTCAGTTCTTCTGGGAATATGCCTAAAGTGGGATAGCTGGAACAAATGGGACTTCCAATCCCAGCTTTTTGAGAAATCTCCAGACTGACCTCCACAATGGTTGTACCGGTCTACACTCCCACCAACAGTGCAGGAGAGTTCCCTTTTCCCCACAGCCTCTCCAGCATTTGTTGTTGTTAGTTTTCTTGATCCCGGTCATTCATTCAGGAGTGAGATGGAATCTCAATGTGGTTTTAATTTGCATTTCTCTATTTACCAGTGATGCTGAACATTTTTTCATGCATTTATTTGTCATTTGCATTTCTTCATCTGAGAAGTGTGTACTCATCTCAGATGCCCATTTTTGGATTGGGTCCTTGAATTTTGGGGGTCTGATTTTTTTTAATTCTCTATATGGTTTAGACAAAAGTCCTTTCTCTGAAGGACAGTTCACTAAGGGTTTTTCCAAGTTTGTGGGTTTTCTTTTCACTATGCTGGAGATTTCTTTTGACACGCAGAAACTTTTTAATCAAATGTGATCCCAGCTATTGATTCTGGACAGAATTTCTGTGTGGTTTGATTCCTGTCAATGAATGCTCTACCTACCCCGATGTCTTCAAGATTTTTACCTAATTTGTCTTCAAACAGATTCAGTGTTTCTGTTTTAATATTTGGTTCTTTGGTCCATTTAGATTTTAATTTAGTATATGGTGATAGGCATGGATCTAGTTTTAGTTTTTGACATGTGGAGAGCCAGTTTTTCCAGCACCATTTATTAAAGAGACTATCGTTCTTCCAGTGAGCATGTTTGGCCCCTTGATCAAAGATAAGGTGGTTGAGTGTGTTTGTAGTTGTGGTTGTATCTTCTAGTCTATTCCATTGATCTTAGGCTCTGTTTTTATTCCAGGACCACGTTGATTTTATTACAGTTGCTTTGTAGTATAACTTCAAGTCAGGGATTGTGATGCCTCCTGCCTTGCCTTTGCTGGTTAGAATTGCTTTTGCTATTCTAGGTCTCTTCTGGTTCCATATTAATTTTAGGATTGATTTCTCTAGATCTATGAGGTATGTTGATGGTATTTTCATTTGGGATTGCATTGAATCTGTATAACAGTTTTGGGAGAATGACCATTTCACAATATTTATTCTTTCTATCCATGAGCAAGGGATGTCTTTCCATTTTCTGAGATCCACTTCAGTTTCTTTTTTCAGTATGTTATAATTTGCCCTGTGTAGATCTTTTACTTCTTTCATGAGAATAGTTCCTAAGTATTTCATTTTCTTGAATGTTAGTGTGAAGGGTGTAGCTTTTTTATTTCTCTCTCAGTGATTTTATTGTTAGTGTATAGCAATGCTATTTATTTTTGAGTATTGATTTTCTATCCAGCTACATTGCTCAATTTAGTTATTGTATCTAGGAGTCTTTCAATGGAGTTTTGGGGGTCTATATGTAGAGTATCATGTCATCTGTAAATAATGATAATTTAACTTCCTCTTTTCCTATCTTTATCACTTTTATTTCTCTCTCTTGTCTTATTGGTCTGGCTAGTATTTCCAGTACTATGTTAAATAGGAATAGTGATAAGGGACATCCTTGTCTTATACCTGATTTTAAGACAAAGGCCTTCTGTTTTTGGCCATTTAATATGATACTGGCTGTTGGTTTGTCATAGATGGCCTTTATTATATTGAGGTAAAGACCATCTATTCCAATTTTCTGTAAGGTTCTTAGCATGAATAAGTGTTGGAGCTTATCAAAAGCTTTTTCTGCATCTATAATCATGTGATTCTTACTTTTGGCTTTATTGATATAGTGGATTGCATTTATTAATTTACATATGTTGAACCATCCCTGCATGCCTGAGATGACTCCCACTTGGTTGTGGCTTATAATCTTTATGATTTTCTGCATCCTGTTTGCCAATATTTTATAGAGCACTTTTGCTTCTGTGTTCATTAGGGAGATTGGCCTGTAGTTCTCTATTTTAGTTGGATTTTTTTCAGGTTTTGGTACTAGAGTAACATTTGTTTCCAGGAATTACTTAGGAAAAATTGCTTCCCTTTCGATTTCATTAAAGAGTTTGAGGAGTGTAAGCTTTAAGTCTTCTTTGTACTTCTTGTAGAAATCTACAGTAAATCTGTCTGAGTCTGGGCTCTTCTTTGTAGACAGGGACATAATTACATTTTCAATTTCATTAATAGAAATTGGGTTATTCAGCAGCTTTACATCTTCTTGACCTAGCTTTGGTACTTCATATGTTTCTAGGAATCTGTCCATTTCTTCTGTGTTGTCAAACCTATGAGAGTAGAGGTTTTTGACAGAGGTGTTGATGATCTTCTGTATTTCCACAGAGTCTTTAGTGATTTTGCCTTTTTCATTACTTATTGCATAAATCTGAGCTTTTTATTTCCTTTTTTAAATAAGGTTGGCTAGGGCCTTATCAATTTTATTTACTCTTTCAAAGAACCAACTCTTGGATTCATTGATTCTTTGGATTATTTTCTTAGTCTCTATTGTATTAATTTCTGCTCTAATTTTTATAATTTCATCCCTTCTTTTGGTTTTGGGCTTGACTTACTCTTTTTCTAGATGTTTGAGATGTAGCATTAGGTTGTTTATTTGTATTAGTTTGGTTTTCCTGATGTGGGAACTCAGT